CTCCAACTTTGTAATTCTTGCTGCTTTTTACTCCCTTCATGCCAGCTGACTACCAGCATTCGTCAACTTCTCTAGCAAGAATATATACATATATATATATGTGTGTGTACACACACACACATACACACACACTACAGTGAATGGTAGATTAGAGATTGGACACAGTATTCAACAAATACTAGGTATCTTCTTTGAAGAACTTAATTTTTATACTCAAACAGAAAGTCAATATTAAACAAAATATTCCTGCACTGTTATACCACTTAAGCATGGTACGCTGTTCTCATGAGTATTTTTTTCCCCGTGATGTCAGTGCTTGTAGCATTTCTGTTATTAAGACTTAAAACAAATCCCATCTGAAAACAGAGTTTGCTGATGGTCAGAATTCTGTGCCACATCTCCACCTTCTGTTCTTCCATTTGCCCCAACGGGGTCTTCCAGCCCTGAGATTTAAGTATTGGCTCTAATTGGACAGGATTAGGTGGTGGATCTAAAGATTCTAATGCTCTTGATTAATCCTGTTAAAATATCGCATGATGGAGTTGCTGCTTGTAAATAGGATTATTTTCCTCAAAAGGAAATTTTCATACATGAAAGCATTAAAATGACAATACTGGATTTTCAAAGTTAACCTTTTAAAAGTTAGAACATGTCAGAGTTATAGTGATAAACAGAACTTTACTTTGACTGCACTATGCTCTCATAATACGATAAAATCTATAATTATGTGTTTGAACATTGCATTCTCATAGGAACCCTACCTCAACTGGGGTACAGAATGGACTTGCAATAGAGATGAATCAGCATTATGCAACAGTTAAGACTATTTTCTGTAGGATTCCTGTCTCAGTTGTTAAAGAATTTGTGAATACGTCAGATAATGCAGAAAGAGAAATAATTGTTTCAAGGAAAAATCAGTTAAATGCTGCAAGTCTTCCTGCTTATGCAAAGAAGTTCTCATGTGCTGCTAAGTCACAGCAAATAAACTTCATAATTGGTTACAACATGCACATTCCTTAGTATTTCAATCTGTGGAAACTTTTGACTTAAATGTTTTGCAGTTCATTTCTGATCTGCCAAACATGACAATAAATTCATCTTCATCTCCTAGAAATGTCATAAAGACTATTATTACAGAAGCATTTAGATACACTAGCACTAGGAACTGCAGAGAAGTGTCCGAGGAAATAATTGTACATTTGCAGCTAAGTATGAATAACGCAGAAGAGGGGGGGGGGGGGGGGGGGGGGGGAATGGGCAGAGGAAAAACTGGATGCAGTACTCTATGTGTGGTCTATTGAGTACCACGTAAAAGGGGATAACTGCTTGCCTCACCTACTGGATACGCTCCTGTTAATAGAGCCCAGGATGGATGCTGTTGGCTTTCTTCAATGCCAGAGCCCGCTGCTGGCTCAGGTTCAGCTTGCTATCTACCATGACTCTCAGGTCCGTCTCAGCACAGCTGCTCCGCAGGCAGTATCCTTGCAATGGGTAATTCATTCACAAGTGCAGGACTTTGCATTGTCTTTGTTGAATTTCGTTAAGAACTCTGTTAACCCATTCCTCCAAACTGTGCAGATCCTCTCGAATGACAGCCCTGCCATTGAATTGACCGTTCCCCCAATTTAGCTGTCATCTAAGCCATTAATGTGGGACCAGTGGTGTGTCTCACCATTTAGAAATGTTCTGAAAACATCCTCAGTTTTTAAATCTAGTTCCCTGCTATTTCAGGCACCGTAGCACATAATCCTTTCCACAAAAGTATAATAAATAAATAAATAAATAAAAATTACTGGAAATGTAACAACTTTCAAAAGGGAACTTCATGTCCACCTAAGTTGTATCAATGACATTTTATATAGAATTTTGACTGCACAGTTTCAATATGAAGTGCTAACAGTATGGCATATGCACTCATAAATTTAAAACCTGAATCTACATTCATTATGTAATGAAAATTTTCACTAAGTTCAGATTTTTGAAAGTTCAGGGGAATGCACTAATCAACAGTGACTAACTACATACCGATCTCCTTTAAGCTTTAGTCTTGTAGAGCTACTTCATCACAGGGCATTATAATTATCACTGTTCTTGAAAATAATACGATATTCATATGATGTCATACAAAAATTTAAATGACAAAGATTCCTAATACAGTATGATCATTTTTAATCATGCAGATGCAAGTGTTGCCCAAAAGCAATAAAAGTTTTTCAGTGTCAACCTAGGAAATCTCCTCTAGCAGGGACAAGGTCATTACATCCAAATATAGCCTGAAATCATTACTGTGATTCAGGAGGAGAGCTAAAACAGTCTGAGATAATGCCACGATTCCTATAATAATCAGAGTACCTTCATTAAATGCACTAGTGAGGCAAATCAAACCACACAGAATAATGCATTCAATGACTATATATTCTTGTCAAAGCTGTCTTAAGGCTATTTCATTCAGTGTATGCTATGGACTTGAGTAACAGTTGTTCTATAAAACAGAGATCCCAGTCTGACAGGGTACTGGAAACATCTATTCATTATTCTAATAAGACTTCAAATTTCTGTGTTTAATTAAGAAAGTCCTTATCCTATCAACATTTTACACGGATGGCTCTGAAATGAACAGAAATTTGAGGAGAAGCCCAAGTTCAGTTCCAAGAGCTGAAAAAAAATTGATGTGATTTTAACTGGACTTCGTTATGCACTTAAATACTGAGCACTCTTTTCAGGCAATTTTAATTTACTTAAAAACATATGAAACTAAAACCAAAATAGGTTCCTCTCCTCAATCCTTATTAACACTAATTATCAAGATAACTACTTTACTCACTTTTGCAGTAGTATAGTTAAAATGGACTCAAATGTATAGAAGTGCGTGAGAAGAGAACTGGACTTAAATTTTCACATTTCAAACTTTCAAAGAATTTTAGGTTATATTCCAACACCTGCTAAAAATTAACTGGTAAAAGAAAAAAATATTCTAAAGTAAAAAGAAGCAAGAATAGATCCAGTAAAGACTATCTTCCCCTGGCTTTTTCCTTCTGCTCTAGCAGAGAGAATAATGAAGCATGAACTGGAATTTTTCTGGAATATGCTGGGTCAGAACGCACCACCATCAGCTTAACTGCATTTGTAGAAGGAACGCAGAGGAATCAGACCACAGAAAGTTGTCCCTATTCTCACCAGAACCATTGTCTTTCAAGTGGAATCAGGCAATAGGAATCTTGCTCAGTTCTGTCCTCAGTATGAAGGCAACATAGAATAACAGGACTGGTATGCTTTGTGTGCTTATGGTGGTAGCAGATCAGAGCTGGGAGTGAAACAGGAAGGACTCTCTATTCACATATGTTGGATATACTGAAACAAAACTGTATGCAATAGTTTTCAGATTGTATGTTGTAGGGAAGCAGGCAAATAGTGGCAAATGAAAAGTGTTGGTTTTATGATGGGAGAAATATATAAATGATAGTCCATAAAGGAAGAAACCAAAGTGAAATTTTGTTAGCGGAACCGAGGAAATACTAATAACGTCCTCATTGTATTTTTATCACTGGACCTGCTTCTTTGTGAAAGGATTCAATGCCTGAAGGTGCTTAGTTTTGAGCACTGTGCAAAGTTTTAGTTAATCAGGTTTTTTTCTGTACATATGCCCTACAGAGATTGTTCTCTAAGAAGTGTTCTGAGAAAATGTGTTCTAGTGCTTAGAGCAAGGCTCTGGAAGCTTTTTCTAGCTCTGCACAATGACCCTGTGATCTTTGTTAATTCATTGAAACTGCTTAAGTGTTTTTATATTCTAACAAAAGGGTATTTTTCCTAGGTGTTTGTTCAATATCATTATTAATATCTACTCATACCTCACAGGAATTTTATAGTACTTGGTTTACGTTTAATTTCTATAGCGATACCCTCAGTTGAAAGGACAAATAGAAGAGTAAATTGCACTGTCTTCTAATTCTCAGACAGTAACTATCTTCAAACCTTCAGATAGCAATTGAAGAGGGCTGATTTTCTGATCAACAGATTCTCTTGTAATTTATATCTTCAGTAGTTTCTGGTACACGTGTTCACAGTTTAGGACATGTATTCCTGAGACCAAAACCATGTTTAGCCATTGGAAAAGCATGACAAAAATTCAGGATGCTTAGTTATAACTAGGAAAGCTTTAGTCAGAGAATATCATTAATGCTATGCCATATAGTTCCTGAAGGCAGCAAGTTTTTAATATCACAGATGCAGCATATAGAAGACAGATGTGAATAAGGCAGGAGATACTGGTGAAGTGCTAGTCTCAAAGCATTAGAATCGTTCTGTTATTCCTACTGTTCTTGACAGATGCGAGTTCCAATCCCAATACTGCTTGCAAACAATTTCCAGCTTACAATGGTCCAGTGAGTTTTTTGTATTAAATATTCCTTAAATGTGGCAAAGCTTAATATACGCTCTGTACTAGGAGCAAAATGCAGCAGTAGCAATATGCACACAAGCGATAGAAGGACTGAAACAATGTTCATTTTGCATTTGGCAACTAAATATATTAACAATTGAGGGCATATAAGCTTCTTCCATAAAGCAGAAAACAGAGATTATATTCATGATCACTTGCTATGATATTTGTTGTATTTGCTACAGTAATTGTTTCTTGCACACTGGATTCTCATCTTAAAGACTACACTGAACCTAAGAAAGTTCTATCTGTTGCCTAATCTATTCATGTTTTTCTGCTTCACTTATTTAACTGAAGTTGAAAATGGGCTATCTGAAAAGCTGACTAAAGAGACATCCAATTCTTTCAAAATTGCTTACGGTATTTACAACATGATGTATCTTTTAAAATAAAGAGACACAGTAAAGCTTAAATGGGCCTATTACATATTATTTATGAATTCCAAAGTTTTCTGTGTAATTTCTTTCTCTAGGCTTTGCAGATTTTTGGTACTATATATGGTACTTTTGGTACTTCCAAGACTGAACCTTTAATTTACAAATACACTTGTCATGTTACTTACTGTTTTCTTCTGCACTCAATTGCTCTATCTATCCTGAACTCAGGTAAACTAATGAATCCTTCTGCTTTTTCATCCTATCAAAAGAGGAGAGGAAGCGACAGTGAGAACAGCTGAAGAACATGCAGTCATTTGGGTCTTACACTAAAATCAATCCAACCAACTGAAATACTGAACACATCTTCCCCATACTGTTTTTACTTAAGTATTTAGATTGCTTAATCATGCAACGTCAACAACTTTTATGAAGTAACTAAATGGACAGTTCCTTAAATGAGCTGCAATCACCCCAATTCCCCTTTGCTGAAGATTATACAACACCTTTCAACACTTAACACAGCACCTAAAATACCATTCAAGACATTAACAACTACAGAGAATTGTTTTTTTCATAAGATAGTATACAAAAATGAAAACTGTTAAAACAAATGTGTGGATATCTCTTTTTAAAATCATGATTGTGCAAACCATCTCCTCTTCTAATAATAATGGAGCAAGTTCCTACACTGAGCTCACCAGTGTTTACATGGAAAAGTAAACACTAATGAGTATTTCTTGTCATTTTTTCCACTTCTTTTGAAGTCATTTACCAGAAGAAACATATTAGGAGGACACATATTAACACCAGTTAGATTTTTGAAAAGTATTATTAAATGTACTATGAATTATTGCTTGACCATAAACCAGATTGAAAATCAGTGAGATGTATGATGAGTACCACCTCATTTCCCACATTCCCTCATTGCATTTCCCACAATATCAAACAAAAAAAACATACAACAAAAAACCTGAAGGTGTTTTGTCACCCACAGCCTGAAAGAATTCTGTTTTGGGCTGCAGAGAGAATATTAAAATTGAGGGTAATTATGTTACTAAAATTATCCACTTGAAGAAAGTGTAAAGCAGAGACTAAAATATCATTAAAGGAAGCAGGTTGTGTACAGACAGTTTAGAACAGATGGTGAGGCTCAGGGCTTGCAAATAGAAGAACAGCAATTTAATCAGTTTCTCTCCCCACTCCACCCCTAATTATTTTATCGCTACAGATGTTTAGATTGCATGAGTGTAGTTCCACTCATTTTCAATAAAATTTCACCAAAAATGGCAATTTACACATGAGAAGCTGCAAACTGCAGGCTAATGAAACAAAAAGCAAGAAAAACATCTATGTTAAGAATAACTCTCAGGTAAAACAGATTTACAAGTTCTGATTTTGACAGCTGCTTTAATCCTTAACTAAACTAAGGTTAAACCTTAAACATTTCCCCAACTGAACAGAAACTATGGAGAGATGAGTGTGAATACTGCGTATTGGCCCAAATAAACACTGTCTGTGGAAAAATATTAACTACTGACCCATTCATTTCTTTAAGAGTGAACCTTCGCTATTTCATTAAGTTTGGACATGGACCTTAAAGACTTTAAAAATAATTTCAGTTGAAATATTTCCATCTAGAATGACCCAGACCCAGCATTTAAATTGGCAGTCCACTACTATGTTTCACCAATTAGCAAAAACAGATTTACTTTATTTAAAAGAATGGTAAAGCTTAAGATTTAATTTTGACTTTCTCCAAACACAGAATATACTTACATTTTGATTTGTGTACCAGTACAAGGAAGAATCTTTCAAAATAAACCAGTATTTTTTCCATTTCTGTGTAAAGTAACCTTTGGCGTCCTTTTTCTTCCATAGCCAGCCTTCACAATCTCCATGTCCCAAGTCCTTGCAAGAAATCCGCCTTCTGCTCTCACTCGTTAGAGAGCCCCCTAAGAATGCGACAATAACGTGAGAGATTCCTCTGAAAGAACTATTCTCAATATAAACACGTTACTAACTTCTAATGATGAGTCAATCCAAAACTCTCCAATTTCTGGAAGAGGAGAGATTCAGCGAACTATTTCCAAATTCCACAATGTTCTGCAATTTTAGTTTTAGGATACAAAGATACAAAATAAAAGGGGCCTATTTTATAAAATTTAACAACTCTAAAGGGTTCATTCCTTCCAGGGCCACATTTTTTGTAAGCTGGGCACCATCATTCCAAAGTAAAAACTTACTGATTTAGCCTTCAATCTGAAACTCACAGAATGACATAACCATAATCCATACCCAGAGGTAAACAGTACTTCTTCCATATATGTTCTGTTACTACTTTTAGCAACAATAAGTCAGTCAAATCCCGGGAATTTTTAAATTGAATTTTTATAGCCAATACTTATAGTCAACAAAAGAGAAAAAGCATTCACTTCCATAAAAATGCACATGCTTACATTTCTTCAATTCTGAATTTAACTCAACGACAATATTTTAGTGTTATTGCATCTTGCTTATAGGCATAGCAACAAAGAGAGTTTGTTTTTGTTATTTCATCACTTCCTAATTTAAAGGCCTGAAATTTTAGCCTGTCTTGTAGATATCACTAAGAACATTTTTTTAGGACAATATCATTTTTCTGTAAAAAAGCCTAAATTTAATTAAAATATTAGACATTTTTCTGTGAAATAAATCAAGCTTATATGGCTATAATAATTGTATTTGTGCTATAGCTGCAAAACAGTGAAGAAACTGAGATTACATCAAAATAACATCCTTTGGTTCTGCTACTTTTCACAGTCAAGTTCTTAATGTTTTGCTCTTTACAGAATAACATACTGCGTTTTGTTCAGGTTTAGAATAAAAACGTATAGCAAAAGTAAAGGAGAATTTTTTTTTAGAGAGCAGACTCAAACAACAAACAGAACAAAAAGAGCCTCACCACACACATTCATGTACTTTGGTACGCTCAACACACTGTATTCTGCTGGAACTTCTTTTCATTACGTTCATTCTTATAACAGTCTCAAATAGGCCATGGAGGATGAAGAAACAGAGCAATAGGAAATAGCCAAATATACAGCTACTACCTTTCTGCTACCTACGTCAGAAGAAATTTTACCAGACAGTCTAACTATATTATATTTATGATGCCTTAATAAAACGTATTTACTGCCAAATTTAGAAATAGTTGAATTAAGTTGAATTTTCTCACTTGATTCGGAGAAGAACTTTCATTTTCTAGTTTCAAATGTTAACTCAAATGATTTACCTTTTGACCATTTCCTTGTTTTTACTCTGAGGGAAGCGTAATGGAATGACTGTAAGAAAAGAAAAGGAATTATGAAAAAACAATGCATGTAGTAGTAGTAACACAGAACAGCCAGAATTCACTGCTATCTTCATGAAGTTATCTTAGGATTGTCCTTTTCTTTTTTTTTTTTTTCGGTCATTTTTCTCTTATTACCATTATAAATATCACAAACAAAAGAAAAAACATAGTGCTACATCCACAAGCTAAAATCTAATTTTTTCCATGTATTAGCCACTCTTCATTTAAAGAATCCCTAATGGTTGGACTGGAAGAATGCTTTTGCAGTCGTTTGAAAACTGAGGACATAAATTCATTGGAATGCATAATAAAGTGAATGATACATGAACTTGCTGTAAGTATATGTGACATAGTCGTACGATTATTTATTCAAAATGAAATGGCCATCACAAACATTACATAGCTAATATGCGAAATCATTTGTTTAATCACGTGCTATAGTCAAGTCTCTAACTATTCCCAAGCATATTGCTTTGCTCTGTTGATAAAATAACTCTGAGGAGAGTTATTCCCGTCTTTCATGGCTGCAATATAAATACATTACTGACACTTTAAGAAAACCCTAAAAGGCTCTCATTATTTAAACCTTCTAAAAATTGTGATACTACTCAATTAATGGTAAAGATTTCTCTTAAACTAAGGAAAAACGCTAGAGAAAAAAAACCCACAGGTCCACTTGATGGAGCAGTACCCTGACTGGTAACAAATGCTACCACTAGCAGAAAAAAAGGCAGACCTACACAGCATGATAAGCCAGCAGACACAAGCAGTACGTTGCATATAAATGGCCACCTTTTTCATTCACTTGTTTTTTTTTCCCTATGAGACACATAATCAGCTTTTCAGCTCAAAAGAGAGCCTAGGAGAACGGCACCTTGATCACTGACTGGGACACCTCCATGGTAACTTAACTGGTGTGTCTACCTATAAATAATTAACTCCTCCCAGAGATCATCTGACTGTTTACCCTATGTTACAGCAGCCCGTCACCACGTGCGCAAAAAGCAAACGTGCTACAAAAGTTCTAACTAACAACTGTGGAACATCTTATTAAGTAAGAGTTTAAATATCACAGTATTTGAATCTAAAATAACTAATGATTATAATTAAAATTAAGTACATTCTGGTTTCAATTAATATTTAGAGGGCCGTGGAATATTATAATTTAAGTACCGTAAAAAGCAACACCTCAAAACAGCTCTACAGCTACTGGAGAGGTGTAGGCTGTTTTATTAAAAAAAAAGTGGAGGAGGAGGGAGCTGTTTTGCATATCTACAGTCCTATTTGTAACCTTTCTATAACAGAGCTAATCTGCAATATTGAACAGCATAGACCCTTTTTAATATCTTGCATAAATGAACAATTCTATATCCCTGAGGGACCTGGCTCAGAGGACACCAGCTTGCACATCCACAGTTCACACTAACTCTTCACTCTTCACGCTGTTTGTCTCAGACTGTTCTCCCAGTCAACCGTGTTATGAATGCTTCACACAAAATATTCCAATTCTGATAGATGACAAGCTCTGCAAATGTATACGCATTGTATCAGTGCGAGGCAGTACATGTTCTCCATTTATTTCATAGTTTCAAATTTATCTCATTTTTTTGAGCATTAGCGAAGACAGAGAAAAGACTAATTACACTTGCTGCTGTGCTATAGGAAATATGGTGGAAAACAGTTAGAAAAATGGAAAAACAAAGGGAAATCTATGAGAAAGTATTGAAGATACATAGCAGCATTGTTGTTTTTCTCAATGTATATTGATAAATCACAAATAAATAAATCACATATAAATCACAGCGGCAGTACTGGTTAGCAGCATTGTGCCAGTTGAAGCTCTGCGGTGACTGTGACTGAACAATCTGTTCAGTGTCCCTCCTTCTGCACAGAAATGCATTAGGATGGAGCAGGTATCTACTCCTGTACAAGAGATCACCAAAGCTGTCCACAATCTAGGCTGATAAATACAGTGATGAAGTAGAAATTCCCTATAATTAAATTAGTTTTAAAAACAACCGCAGTGTGATTGTTTCTGTAAAGAACTGCAAGAAAAACGAACGAGCTGGATGAGTAACAAATTTTTTTAATCAGCTGGAGGATGTGCACACCAAGATACTCACCAGAAACTGGTACGCATGATTCTGCATACAACTTTTAAAAATAATGAAAATTCAAGCACAAGAAAAGAAATCAAGGAAAGCTGAAAGTATTAGCAATTCTAGAAATATAAGTTCATTAGCCTTGCTATGTTTTGTTAGTGCACATATACAACGTATTCAAAAGTAAGAAAATCAGAGAAAGTGAAAGCTTTGCATTACCTTGGGAAAAAATGCTTAATTAGCACTGCTAACTTACAAAATTCATATTCTAATTGATAAAGGAATTACTATGCAATTAGCTTTGTGGTAAACACGGTAAGAAAGTCAGAGCTTGCAACTTCAAAATGACTCAGAGTTGCTATGAAAAACAGACAGATGATGCGAGAACATACTGTGGTTGCCAGTACTTAAGTTCTCATTGCAAAACCACGACACAAAGTTTAACGTTAAACAAAATGCAACCTTCCCCCAGCTCAACGAAAACGTACTCTGGAAAAAAAAAAACAGTCACAGAAGCTCTGCTACATGAAGTTGAAGCAACAGATCTCAGCGTAGCTACAGTGTATTAGTAACAGTGCTGTTTATTTGCCACAAAATTGCCAAAATGAAAAGTTATGCTATGTTTAAAAAGTGCCCTAGAAAGGTGCAAATCAGTTACCTATCAAGATGAAGGGAAACAAACCTCTTAATGCAAATCTGATTGCATTTACCGCTGCTGTTTTGAGCCTCGTGAGTTTTTACTTAAAAACATCAACGTGTTCCAACCACAGCAATCAGTGAGTTCACTTGCAAAGCGGACACACCATAGGGCATGTGGCACTGATTTCCTCAGCGTATGTCTATTACATTATTATTTGCAGCACCATAATCCCAAAGAACAGCAACAGTTTCAAGTGTTTTTCAATGACAGTAGCAAGAAAGTAGAGATTAGCAGATAGAGTCAGAATATCAACAAACACAACTGCAGGTTTCCACGAACAGCAGAAAATTTAGTCATATATCTTCCACCATCATCACTGGTCTTCAGTCTCACTGAGTAATTACTTAAAAGGCAGAATAACATCTGACACCTTTCAAAACGTATAGCTTCATGATTTACATGCACACAGATGAAAAACCCTTGCTATACACACTATACTGTAACTATCAAGAACGAACACTAGACTTCTGAGACAGGAAGAAACCGTGACAAACTGGAAAGACATACTCATCACTCTGCTTAATGAAACAAGTACTGAATTGGAATGAAGAAACATGCATTGTATAAATGAAGATTCTGTTCTTCATCCTTCATATAAAATATTTCACGAAATACTGAATGATTTAAAAAAATAATGTCTAAATATTTTTCATTAAAGTTCTTCAAAACTGGTACTGTAAAAGTCTTGGAAAAATCTTAATCCCATATCTCATCAGAGTATGCATGCTTTTTCTGTATTAAAAGCTTTTTTTTTTTTTTTTAAATTTTCTTTTCCTTCAGGGCAAACCTCTCGCCAGAGCTCCCTTCCAACCTAGACTTTTCTATGATTCTCCTCCCTAAACTGCTACATACGCTAAAATACATACTAAAGTTCCCACCAAACTTACTGAAACATAGCACTACATATACAGTGACCCGCTATGGTTGCACTAGATCCTGTTCTGAACATGCAAATTATTTCCAGCTTTTTATTTTCTTTTTTTTTCATAATATTGACAAGTTCAAAGGTCTGTGAGTATCTTTTGAAACATGACAATGAATTGAATTGTTGGGGATTTCTGTTTTAAGTATTGTTATAAGTGATTACCTTCCTCATGGATGTGCTTCCGTGACGGTCAAGCGCAGAACTAGCACATCTAGAACAGAGAGGAAGACAGATGTCAACAACTACAGAAAAAAAATAAAATCTGAATTAATACTACATATGCACATAAACTGTATGCATTTCCAAATGCATGCCTACAGATTTAATCGTGTTTCAAAATCATGTAAAATGTATTGCTTGAAATGTATGAAGGCCTTTGGAAATTTACCCATTGTTTTCAAAGAACACGTTAATGCTCTTAAAAATCCCACAAAATTATTTTCAATATTCTGATTTACAGAGAATATCTGGTTCTGTATCCATCCCTGGTACAAAAATCCTCAAAACTGATCAGCTAATATTCAAAAGCAATTAACAACTCCTCCCTCTTTCAGTGAGTCTTAGGACATATAAATCACAGACTCTTTGCTGCAGGGCTAGTACTCCTATTTGTGTGCTTCTTACAGCCTCTGCTTTTAACATAGGTACAATGGACTCCGAGCGCTCAGACTAAACTAAGAAAGAATGAGCATTTGTCTTCATAGAAAAGATCATTTTCCTAATTTAATCAGGAAAAAATATAGAAATACAAATAAATAATTAAGCAATTGTGCTTTAAGAGTCATTTGCCTTTTAAAATATATTAGTTTGCAAATAGGTATTTTAACTGTTATTCTGACATTTCAGAAAGACTTGTGTGTTCCATATTTTGCAAATTTGATTTCTTCAGATGTTATTACAGAATCAAATCAAGGACAATTCAAATGCTTAATGTGTGTCTTCCTTTGAGTTACTTTTTGGGTCTTAATTTTAGCAATATGTAAGAATATATACAAACCTGCAGACATGAATGACTGTGTAACTACCGTGCCAAACTTGGTATAACTGCCAGGTATGATGTTTGCCAGGTACAAAGAAAGTCTAATATTTTTCTTTTGTTCTGTTCTTTCCCCACCACCTCCTGGTATTTTGGAAACGCTTCAAGACAGGAAATTCATACACACCACAGTGATATGGAAATTTATTAAAGAAATAAAATTTAGATAGTCAGGAAAACAGCAACATTTCTGAAGTACTGATAGCCTAGCAGTATCTTCCTGGTTGGCAAACATGGCATACAACTGTTAGACTTGCTGTTGGAAAGATGGGTGGAAGACCATTTCCTCTGGGTCCAGAAGCAACCATAATGTGCAAAAGTTGACTCCTCCTAGAAAATCAACACCAAGTAAACTTTCCCAAAGTAAGTTCAAAGCAGGCTCCAAACTGCTGCTGTAGTCATTGTGCTTTTTTAACATCAATATCCTTTTACTAGTGAAACTGATATACTGCTCAATTTTAAGAAAGCCTTCATGCAGTTTGAAGTTGTATATCTTTGGAGAAGGTCCAGGCAAAATTTCATTTCAGAAGATGCAATCCTTTCTAAAGGCAAACACTCAGTCCTGACACTATAATACTGCAACACATGGTACTGCAGAAAAGGAAAAAACTGAAACAGTCCCTGTTCAATAGGCCAGTTTGTGAATTTTACTGTTATTAAGAGAAGATCTCCTGCATATCATTCTCATACAAGCACTGTGCACAGAATAATCTGTTTCTACGTATTGAAATGTTGAAATAGGGAAGGCTGTTAGGTAGGTACAGATAAATCAGTGGTGCACCGAAATTTTCAACACTATATGGTTCTGTTTCCTTAACTTCAAAGAGGATAGAAGAAAATTGAAAAGATTACAAGAAGAATGGCCAGAATAATCAAAACGCATGTAGCAACTTCTGTTCAAACTAAATAGATTTATCCACCTCACAACAACAACTGAGGGCAATATTGAGGAGGTTTATGAACTCAGGAGTGGTGTGAAAAGGGTAAATAAGGAAAAGATATTCACACTCTCTCCTTGAATAAGGAGCTAGCTAATCTATAAAAAAATCAGCAGTTAACTACTTTTATTTGTTTTGAACTTGCTATTTTTCATTAGCACAGAATTTAGTTATTGAACTCTGCTACAGGATGCTGTAGGTATCAAAAATTTACATAGATTAAATCAAAATTAAAATGTGAAAATCCTATGTATGGAATATCTGAGCATTCTCCTGGAGTTCTCCAGGCTAGGGAACAAAACAGGGAAGTTTCACCACAGGCCTATTCTTATATAATTACAACTACTGTCGGCCACTGATGGAAACAGGATATTGAGTCAGGGTGAACTTTGGTCTGATCAAGCACAGGAAGTCTTACACACTCGGTTTGCCTTTACTTTTCAAAAAGTAAGAAAAAACAGAGGTGTGGATACTTTACTGTATGTCATATGAAGGGAGGAGAGCATAAGAATAGGAAAGGGACTGAGGAATAGCAAAGGGATTGAGGAAAAGTTTTAAAAAGGTTTAAAAAAAATATTGTGGACATTTTCAACATGTTTTCAAATTCTATTGCCCATAATAACAGTAATAGTAAACAATATGCTGTCACAAGTCACCAACAGAGGAAAAGGCATTTTCCTCATTTGATGATTTCCATGGTTATGAAAAAAAAAATCAAATTTACCAGTAGAAATAACTACTGCATTTTCAGTGACAGCGACCTATCAGTCCTCAATCAACAAAAATTTCCAGACTGCAGTGAAGAGGTGGTATGTATAACATTAAAATTATAAAAGTTAATAGGCAAGACTTAGGAGTTCTGAGCTGTCTGCAGATTACAAGGACTGGAGGAAACAACTGATAAACAAAGATGTCCATCTTGCAGCATTTGGTACAGGAACAGACAGACGCCCAAACCACTGCAGGGCAGTTTTTGTCATCAATGCTCCATTTCTGTCTGCCCACGAGAATGCCATAAATGTACTTCAATCCTGCCGGGCATTTTCCCCCTGATTTCTGGTCTGTTTCTTTAATCACAGCTTTGACCCATGTGGAAAGCGTTAGTTTCAGCATTTCCATTCTTTCGTTCAGTCAATATGCTATATGAATAACACATCCGCTTTTTTATTTGAAAAGTCCTTAGTCAAGTTTTATTTGCTTCCATTCAAAGGAATGGATCTTCCTACAGTAATTAATCACAGACTTATCAGCAAAAGCCTTGTAAAGTTATAAAATTAGTCTGCAATCAAGCTTTTGAAAATTCTTCAGAAGTTGACATCTTATGAAAGGTCAGGAATATGTGGTCTGATGTACAATAAATTTTTTATTTGGGATCAGTTTTCAGTAGTCTACAGGAGTTTTTAAAAGGTTTCATGTCTATCAAATACTTGTTCCCAAATTAAATTATTCACCAAATATTCCAATCTGCACACCTCAGAAGAAGAAACAAGCTGACCTTTTCTTCTCTTTAGATCAGTAAATTCTCTGTATGAACGTGACAAGAATCAATTAACTCAGACATAGAGGAATCCTAGCATGTCATCTATACTGGTTCAAGTAATCTGTATCATATTTGACGGAGTTATTCCTTACTTTTCTTTTTATGAAAACAGTTGTTACAGACGTGAAAAGGAAAAGAAAGAAGGCAGAAAAAAGGAATGATATCATTATAATAGCCTAGACTGCTTTTTTTCAAAGCAATTAAAACAGCTGATTTACTCAATATTTCTTTTCATGTTCATGCAAAACTCTGTTTTTGAAATAAATTGCAAAAACTAGAAAAAATAAGGAGGCTCAATCTATTTGAAATTTCTATTTGACAGAAATGTAACAGGTTCCAAAAATGTCTGTTCTGAGTCTTGATATGCCCTAGCTAGTTGCATCTCATATATTGGAACGCCTATGGATAAACAAAGGAAGTTCCCTCCCTCCCTTCAAAACTTTGACGCAATTAGACCTTGTAAAAAAATTGAAACAAATATAAAAAGAGGAGAATAATTAAGAGAAACACACATATATGGCAGCAAGCACAAGTCAAGGTTAAACATAAGCTACCTCTGGTCTCAGTATTAAATGAAATGCATATTGACTCCGGAAGCAACTTTGAGGTGGAAGAAAAACTCTAAGATTTTGAGGGGTTCAAGTTGAGTATACGTGATAACTTCCAGCTTGCATCTTAAAGGACAGATGAATGAAAGTGCAAGTCTAGTGGTAAGGTCTGTAATCAGTATTTTAAATGAAGATACTATGTGATTAGAAAGCTACTAATAATCTCTGAAAAACAAATTAGAATGGAAAAACATAGAAATATTAGGGAGAGCTGTAAGAATCAGAATGTACAGACATCCCTGTTAAAATATTTCTAATGAATGCTGAGAATTCTTTGTCACCCACCCAACAGTGAACGTATGTGCAACTGAATAAGTCTCTGCACTCTTGACAGAAGAGCCATTAATCCCATTTAAGATCATCGCTAGCATTCCGAATATCCTGCATTTTCTACTCATACCAAAATTCTGCTGTTAATGAGCAGAAGCGATACTTATTTCTTCATATATTAAGCATCACTAAGCAAATGCAGCTGTGAACACAACTTCCACTTTGACATTCATTCCTCTTTTTCTTTCTAGGAACATGTTTTCATTTTCCACCACATAATTAATATATCTTTAATTACCCCATAAACTCTAGTAAGGAATAGTTTTTAGCTTGTATAATTTAGAGAATATCTACTGAAAACAAAGAAGTTGCAACAATTTAAATCAACTGCAGAGCAATTTAAATATACCTTGATCACAAAAGCAGCACTCAAAGAATGCCAGATAAAACAGCTCTTACACATTATCAGTCCTCCTATTGTATTACCTCAATTCTCTTTCTATTACCTTCAGGGTCATTAAATCTATCATTAAAGTTATAACTGTACTAGAACAAATCAAGTATTTTTCAGTAGCTTATTGGATTGCTATCATTTTGGCTTCTCCACAGGTGAAAGGATACAGATAATAAATCCTGAATGATAACCATGAATGCATTCTAGAAACAAGTAATATTCAAGGTGATTATTCTTATCTTTCACCTACTTTTTGATATGGGCAATACTTAAAATTTAGCTTGTTGAATTCTTTTTGTCAAATGCCCCTGATTAGCTACTGCCTCCTCTAGCAGTTAAGGATAGGACTATAAGCTACAACTAAT